TGCCCACTCTGGTTGAAATTGTTAAAAGCAAGCTAGAAACTCTCAAAACCATCATAATCAGGAACAGAGTAAAGTTATATTTTATTCCTTAGCCTCAATTCTGATTTTTTTGTTAAGATATCTTAAGACCAATATAGACAGTTAAATTAGGTCAACTAAAGTAGTCTAAGACCTGAAAATATAAAAAAAATTACTAAAGCCAGACTAAGTCAGTTCAACGATCATCAAACAAAAGAATGCCAAAATGCAAGAAACCTTTCAAAATTCCCAAAAAGCCATCCCATGGCCAATATTCATCATACATTGTCTATAAATATCCACAATATTTCCTCTCTCATAGTCCCGTCCTCATCTAAACCAACAACAACAGCAACAGCAGCACAAAAAAAAATCAAGTCAAACTCAATCGAAAACTTAAATTTCATCGAAAAAAGCCAAAACCAAAGCTATAATTTTGGAGCACTCAATATTTCTGCCTGCACATTTTTTTTTTGTTATTTTCATCTTTCTCATTTGTTTTTGCTCTAATTCGAGATATACGGATGCATGCTCACATATTCATATATGTGTGTTTGGGTCTCGCTAGATCAGAAACAAATGAAAAAAATAATTCTCGGAAATCCTTGAAAATCACAAAAAAAATCACTGTAAATGTTTTTTTTGTTTTTGTGCAAGATGCAAACAACAGCAACAAAAAAAAATAAAATATTGTTTCAATCCGTTCACTGAAATGTGCAGTGTGGATAGAGTAAGTTGGAAGTTAATTATTTGGCGGAAAGTTCTCAGAATTTACGGATGAGTATTTAAATTTGGATTCATTTTATTCAAAAAGACTTGAATAATTAGATTAAGGTTGATGTTGAGCTGCAATTGTCTAGAGCTGCTGGTTTTTGAAATTAAATTCGATGGTAAAATTGCTGTAAAAAATCAAATAGATTTCTTTTTATGTTGTGAACATTATAAGGTGTCAATTGGCTACCAAAGCTTTACTCTCTTGTGTTTGGTGACATTTTTAAGTCATTTAACTTTTATATTCATATTTGTCACTAAAAGGGTTGTTTAATGATAAAACCTTAACAGACAAATTTGTATACTCATGGTACCATGAGTGTACATACTCTTGAGTATGTTACGTTACCATGAGTATGCTCATTTGTCTGTTAGGGAAACCTTTCGATTAGCTTGAATTTTTTCAAAATTTAAATCTTCGCTTTATAAGTTTAGGCGCCATGATTCACTCAATTTGCGAATATAGTAGCTGCTCGTAAAAAGTATCAACTTTTAATGATATTTTATCATCTCTAATCAATATAATTAATGGCTTTACCTGAATTAAATCTAATAAAAATTATAAATTTGAGACTCATTAATTTAATTCTAATTATTTATGACATGTGCAGTAGGTAAAATTTTGTATTAAAAGAACATATTTAATATTTTACATCCAATTGAACTATTAAGGCCATTTTGGAGACATTGAGCCTGACATGGAGCTTGAAACTAGCCATATAGCATGTAGAACTCCCTTTAACTGCCGCATGTGTAAAACAATTAATGTTGAATAAGTCAGGTGCGATGAAATTCAAACCCACGACCTCAAAAGAGGCGATCTCTGACCACTCGACCACCAAGGTAATTTTCTCACTTCGACTATCTGTTATATTCATGCTGCTAGTTTCACAGTGAGCCATAGAAGAATTCTAATGATCCAAAAGTACATGCATCAAAATCTTCTGAAACGAGAAAAAAAATCCACCTACAAATAATGTAAAGAAAATTTCATCTTAAGTGCAGGTGAAATTGAAATATAACTCTATAACTATAACTGAAATATAATTGAAATAATCATATAAGACACGTATGTTACTTGGGCCATATCTACTTCGCGGGCTACCATTTGACAATTTGCAATACCAGTTGAAATACTGTCTTTTATAACAGCTTATTTGCTTGAGTTCTGCTGATTTAAATCACTTTGATTTAAGGCACTATCTAGTCATTTTGCATTGTTACTCAGGTTTGAATCTACTAAAGGATATTTACTTAATCCAATGAAGTAGCCATAGATGAGAGGGATGAATGGTTGAAAAGTCATAAATCAGATGGATTGATTTGACTCTTGAGTCTTCCTTTCTGACTTACTTTCTTACTTCGCTGGTCGTACAGATCAATTGTGATTCATGACCTCCCTTACCCGTCCCTTAAAACTATTTCTATCTCTGGCTACCGTCTCCCAATTGCCGATTCCAAATGCAACACTGTCTCTATTAATGGTCTCTTTCAATGAGTTCTTTTTTAATTCAACAACCAATATTAAAGACACGATTTAATTGTGTGTAATGAAGCAAAATTTAAGTGCTTACATAAAATGTTGTCAATCCGAAGATCATCCTAATGTGCTCAAAGTTTGAATAAACAATAAATCAATAAACTAAATTAAATATTCAAAATTAAATTATAAGTCTCATAATATCAAACTAAGTGCGATTATATTAATAGTAATAATAATAATCATATCTGCTCAATCTAAAGCAAAATCAATAAAATCTCTAAAAACCTCAAATAAAACAAAAAATCGGCCTTTGTCAAATACTTGATGACGCTCTAAAATTTTACCATCGAGTATGCATAAAATGAACCATTTATGATTAGGGACATACAAATATAAAAACATTAGAAAACTCTCACATTTCATTAATGCGGGCAAGCAGCATGCGCTCGGGACTTAACAAAAACTATTCTAAGCATAAACTCTCACTAACACAACCAATATATTCTCTCAAATAAAATAATAAAAAACTATAATTTATTCACACAAATACACAGAAAAGGGTTAAGAGAAAAGACATTCCAAAGTTTTTTAATTACCAAAAAAAGAACTTCTTTCCAAAAAAACTCTCTTTCGGCATTTTTGTTGCTCTCATTTGCTCTCAAAAGAAGCAAGAACAAGAAGAAGCAAAAAATATTCTAAACTCTGCCTCAAAAATTCTTCCTTGCACTCGATTTTAGTTTAGTTTGAAATTTCATCAAAGTAAGTTGAAAAAAAGGAATTTTTGGAGTTTCTGATTTTTTTGAGGATCAAATTTAAATTATTTTAATTTAATATTGCGACAAATTGAATTAATTATTGTCATTTGAGGCTGCTTTTGAGTCATAAAATAATTAAAATAATTGATAAACTACTCAAAGTTTTTAAAAGACACATAATCGAAAATAGCAGATGTTTTTAAAGCATAAAAATTCATATAAAAATAAAGAGTACAAAATGCAAAGTTTTGTCCTTAGTTTTGAACATAAAATTGGTATAAAAAAAATATTGTTAAGAAATTTGTTTATTGTGAGTTTTTTAGGTAAAATGTTTGGTTGGGGTTTGTTATGGACTTGTTTTTAATGTTTGAATAGAGTCAGTCAGCTTCAAAACATACAGAATTCGGATTATGACATGCATAATCTTAGAAATTATTTAAAAATTTAATTTATGGTCTCAAAAAATAAGAAAATTTTTTGATTTTTTAAGAATTCAAAAAACAGCTAATTTAGCTGCAAAAGTGTTATTCTATAAGCTTGATAAAGTATTAGATTCATCTTAACATCAGAGTTGTAAAGAACGATGATGACCAATCTAATTAATCAAGCCAGTTTACTGTTTAATTATCAACTATAATTGTCACCTGAAACAAGCTCATTTGCTGACTAAAGCCTGCCAGTTACCATGTCATGGTGCCCTTACCCGAATAGCATAAGTCGGTTAAATGATCAGATATCCGGCACCAAGCCTGTGTGAATCTGATGTGGTACTGGATTTAAATCGAATTCAGTGCCAGAGTCATGCAAGCTTGGCGCCGGATTTCTATTTGATTAACCAACTTGTGCCATTTAAGGTTTGTCAAAAATAGTCAATTATTGTCTTTTACATTAATTTATATAAATCTTAGAAAGATATATAAATGAAGCTCGCTAAACACTTTTTAGCACCACGAACATGATTTGTGCCTGTTAAATGAAAATTTAAATATAAAAATGGTAAAAGTTAAGGAACTGTTAAATGAAGATGTTCAGAACTTGAATCCAATTTGAATTTACTTCAGATTGTTAAATTAAAATTGTCAATTTAAGTGAACTGAAACAGACTAAAACCAACTTAAATTTCTAGAATCATTTCAAGTTAAACCTTTTACTGTTTTCTAAACAGTGGTTTTTAAATTAAAACCTTAATTTAAATTCAAAACAAGCAGAACATTTTTAATGATAAAAAAATATTTTAATATATTCACAAAAATTGAAAATTATGTGTCAATATGAAAAATGAAAAAAGGGAAATTTTAAATTTTTAACAAATCAAATTAAAAATATTCAAAAAAGTAATTTAGAAAGTTTCAAACCAAAAAATCACAAAATTTGTGTCCTTATCAAATTGTTAATAAAGTTTCTAAGAAGTTCGTAAAGTTTCTCAAAAGTATACAAACTTTAGCATACCTAAAATCAAAATTATTCCTCAACTTTGCCTCACTTTTGAAAAATTTAAATCCTCAATAATCACCAAAACCTCAACAAAGTAACTTCAAGTAAACCTCTCCAATAAACAACAACATAAATTCTAACCTCAAAAAACAATTTTCACTAATTTCTCTCATTTTCACTTTGCAGGCAGTCTCCTGAGCAAAAATTAAATTTTTATTTTCATATTTTTCGTTCAACGAAAATCAGGCAGCATCAAATCCAGAACACAGATTAATACGCGAATAGTTCCAACAAAACTCTTCCCGCATCAGCTTCTAAAGTCTCGGCAATTTTCTCATTTCTTTTCGTTTTTCTTCTTCAAAAATTTTCCTCAAAAAATTTTAAAGACACAATAAAAAAATAGCGGTATAGAAGAGAAGTTGAAAGCATCGAACGACATCCCTTGCTGTATATTTTGAATATATATCAATACACATAAAAGTAGTGGAAAAATAAGTAGGCAAAGAAACAGCCTTGAAAGTAAAAAAGTGAAGTGAAAAGAAGGATTTTTTAACAAAAATACACACAAAATAATAAAAATAAAATATATTTCTACCCGGCATAAGTAGACGTATCGATGTGTCCGTGAGAATTTCCGGAGTGTTGAGAAAAAGTTAAAACAAAATAAAATAATAATAATTTTTGGCGTACATTTTTGGACATAAAAGCAAGTTTTTAAATTCAAAAAAAAAGTTTTAAAAAAATGGCATCGAACGCTGATCAATTTGCTGATCTTGAGTTATCGAAAGAGGACCGCGAGCAGATTTTTGAGGATCCACATGAAGGCGCTCAGTCACATACACCACAAAATGGTTCCAGGTGAGTTTCAACTTTTTTTTTCATTTCTTATTTTTTTTTGTGTATTTTTTTTACCTGCACGAAACTCCTCGTATACTTCCAATGTCCCATATCCATACTTTCTTACTTACTTCTTCTTCAACACACTACCTTACCTAAAATTCTCGTTCTGTGATTCTTATTTTCTTATTTTTTTTGGCTCTCCTAGTTCTCTTGCCTCTCTCTCTCTCATTATTCATGTTATTTTTCATATATTCTGAACATTTTTTTTACTCCATCGTTTTGCGCGCCAAATATCATCTCTTATTTTTTGTTGTTTATCATGTTAAATCAAAGTTAAATGTGAGAATTTTTATTAGTTTATTATTTGAATATTTATAAGCTTCTTACATCATTATCTAATCTTTTACATCACACTATGTGATCATTATTAACTCGTAAAGTCTTGTTGATGTTATTGTAACTATGCGGAGAACTATAATGTTATATAAAGGTCTTGTAACTGACATTAGAATCTTCCAGGATCGAAAACTAGGCAGTATACCACCAAATACCACCAACTTTCATACAAATACCTCCAAATAACACCAAATACAGCCAGATAACCCCCAACCTTGTTTCCGAGCCTAGAGAATATTTCTTGGTTTTAAAATTAACTTTCATTCTTATTTGCTAGTTCAACATATGCATTTTTATTCAATTTTATTCATGACCTTTCAAAACAGTAACTCTTAAATGGCAAGTAATTGTCCATGGGAACCAGTGCGTGGTATTGGTTTTGAAAAAAAACTGGTTTCAAATTTGGTTCACTGGGAGTGTCATTTGATAGACTTTTTTTGGTTCACTTTTTAAAATTACTTGCTTAATTCCTAGGCTGGGGCGCACATGTGCCCATTGCCGCGTTCAGAGATCATCTAAAGACAGCTCTATCCTTAGAAACCTTCTGCCAGTTCGGGAGATTAAGGACTTTAGCGTTTAAAACTAGCCACTTTCATTAAGTTTCAATACTCAGAATCATTTTATGATTTTATTTAAACGATGTTATAATAACAATATTTATAATAGATTTTGAAATGCTTACAAAATTTAAACAAGATTGTTGCCTTTTTAATTAAAACCTGAGTATTGAGAGCAAGTTGACAATTCTATTCAATACAAAATATTAAGCAAATAATTTAAAGAACTGTAAGACAGTCCATAACACTGTCATTACTGTTGACAATTACTGTTTCATTACTGCTGACAAATCAAAACCAAGAGTGCGTTACTGATGAAAGTATTGAAAAATGTTAAAAAAATGATCAAAAATAATCAAAGATGAACAAAATTGATCAAAAATGATCAAAATTTATTTTTTCAGTTCCGCACCCTTGTTCAACAAAAAATGTCCTGTCCAATTTTAAACCAGTTACTTACTCAATGAAAACATTGTTCTTCCAGATCAATAAGATTTAAGAAGGACTGTTTCGATATGATTTTTTTAAAATAATCCTTTTTTCTTGAGCAATAAAAATAAACTGTTTTATCCAAAGTTAATGAGAACTGCCCAGTAAAAGATCATAAATATCTTGTCCAAACAAACCATATCAGGCCGATGGAGTTAGACTGTCTTGCCAAAAAGCACATACTTTAACCGATCAAAAATATACCAGATACATGACTAAGCTGTGAATTGGCAAGCTTACTCGATTGGTTTCAAAACTGTCTTCAAATCATCACAAATTTCCATTTCAAAAATTCCATGACTTGTTTGAATATCTCAAACCCCACACAAATCATTTCGAAGCGCCATTAATGCATATCCTCCAATTTCAAAACAAAACTCAGACTTATCGTTCAAAATTCCAGTCAGTGTCATTTAGTCCTCATGTAGTCAAATTTCCTCAAAGTACTATAAACAACAGTGAATGATTCTGCATGTTGACATAATGAGACCCCACTAAGCAATTTCAATGACATTATGTCGCTTATATAATCCTTTCAACATAAAAAAATCTTTGATTAGGGACAGAAAAAAATGAAGAATTTTTGGTTGAGTTGGCCAAGCATTTCTAGCATCAATTCACATCGCCGCAAACCTTTTTTTTTATTTTCATCTTAAACTCTTCTTTCACTCAATTTCTAAGAATTGAAAAGCGAGCAACAGAAGCAGCACAAAAAAAAAAGCCAAAAAGTTTGTAGGCACAACAGCAGCAGGAGCGGCTAAAAAAACGTGCAAAATGTGAAGAGGAAACAGGGTATTGGAAATTGGCGTGTATTTGTAATGAAAAAAAGGAACCAATACATTGAAAGTTGAGCAGCATAAAAATTCCCAAAAAAATTTCTTTTGCTTCTTTTTATTCTCGCTTCTATTTTTGCTCGTTTAAAGGTTTTTTTTCTGTTGCTGCTTGCTTGCTTGCTTTCGTTTGTTGAGAAAAGAGCGAAATTATGTTTTGAGACCTTCGTCGCTGCATTGCTGTTCCTTATTTTCTCAACTCTTTTTTTTTTGTGCTTGTCTAGAAGTTTTTATGCTGTCTTGTTTTATTTTGTGGGTCAGTGGAGGAAAGTGTAGACTGCGGATATGAATTTAAATGCTAATTGTAGCCGTAAATTGTTCTTGCACTATCAAGTGCACTTTTTTTTTGGAAATTATGCTGGTTAACTATTCGTTTTATTTGAAGGGGTCTGGTTGTTGTTTTTTTTAAATTGACAAATAAATTTTATGACTTCGAGCTGTCTGGCTGCACAGTGACCAGGTATTTTTCAAGGGGTTTTTATGTCTGTTTTTACAACTTTCTGGTGACTTTATAGAAATTCATTTTCGAACTCAGAAGGAGTTCAAATGAAGATTCAGTACTTTGGTTTTACTAAGTTTTATTTGGTTCTTTCATGCTTTATACTTTAAAAGAACACAAGAGCTTTATTTACTTGCTCCATACAGATCAATTATAATCTATGGCCTCCCTTAGATGACGCATGAAGCTGGCTCTATCGCTGGATAGCACTTGCCAATCACCCATTCCAAATGCAATACTGTCTCTGTCAACAGCTTCTTTCCAGGAGTTCTTGGGACGTCCGCGTGATTTTTTGAGAGCTTTACAAATATTTATTTGAACAGTATGAATTATCTGTTCGAATCTTTATCAAAACTTAGGCAGAGCTCGAAATCAAATCGAGATTTTTATATTTTGAATGGTGGATTCGACTCCGAGTCGACTCGAATTCGAGCTCTGAACTTAGGAAAATGAATTTTTAAACTTCAAATTCCAATACAACACATTTAGATTGTAATGACTGCTTAAAGGACTTAAACGACTTGAAGGGTACTCAATTTCTTAAATACACAGCTAGTATTACTAGTAATTCAAGAGCTGAACTTTATTAACAAATAAAAATCAAACCTCTCACTTAAATATCCAATAATTGATTTTTGAATGAAGAATTGTGTTGCTCGGATGTTGTGACTTTAAAACAATAGAAGCATAAGTCCTTTCTTACTTCCAAATTTTTAAATTTTAACTAAATCTTTTGGTATTAACTGAAATAATAATTTAATTTAACTGTAGACAATCATAAGCTGCTTCCTAAAAAATCGTTCAGAAATTTAGAAAATATTATCAAGTTGGACATGATTTGCATCTTCCTGACTATTCACTTTTTTTGCTTCAAACTCAATAAAATCCCAACAATCTTAATTCAAATGTATAGCAGCGCTATTTGTTTCTAAAATTTCTAAAACTTTGTGTACCAAACATCTATTGTACATAGTTCATCTAGAAGCACAAAATAAGGTTAATAACACAAAAGTATGAAGGAAATATTATTATATAAGTTCCTGTAATTATGCTTCTTTAAGAACCATTTCAAGTTATTTTTGAAAAAATATTTGAAAACATCCACAAAAAATTCTTTATTATGGACATTCAAATCACAGCTCGCAGGCAAAGAACTCAAAAATATTATTTACATATCCCATAACTTATTCAATTATCTATGAAAGAATAGAAAGGATCCTCATTCAAGGCAGCATTATTATTTAATAAAAAAAAATTATTTTGTTGAAAAGCAAGCAGGAATAAGAAGAAGAAAGTCTTTTTTTGGCAATAGTGAAATAACCGCCAGATGGATATGTGAATTGAGTGTGTATATGGAACTAATAAATCTATGTATATGTATGCTATTGATTGAGCCTCGAACACACAAGCAACCAAGAATAAAAAAAGGTTAAAAAATTTGCTTCGCTTCCTCAAAGTGAAGCACATGTGAGTTAAAAAAGGCGGAAGAATATGAGAAAAGATCCTTTAAGCAACACAGGTTTGCTATGGAAATCAAGTTTTCCGCGGTTCCTTGCTTATGCTCATAAATCATCGCGTTAAATTCCTTTCCTTATTATTTCCTTCCATTTATGACTGCCATTCATATTTGTTTATTGCTTTTTTTTTCCTTCTTCTTATTTCTTATGTTGCTGCTTATTGACATCAAGTCAGAATCTCTCTTGATGTTGTAGCTTGTTTTTTTTGTTTTGCATTTTGTAATGAAGTAATTTGATGCGGAAATGTTAACAGCTTTTTGATTTAATATTATTTAATATCTTTTTAATCGATTCCAACCCTTTCGAAATTATGGGAATAGGAATTTCTGCTTAGAATGGTTCTGTTGTCCTTATTATTTACTAAAATCTTCTAATTTGCTGAATGTTTCGAGGTTTTTGATATGATGCTGTAAATCTTTGTTTTATGCTTTTATTTGAAAATTTTATCTAAGTTCTTACTTCGTTACTTATTTCCTTGCTTAGTGTTCCTAAAGAGAACATGGCAAAATTTCTTTGTCTTTCCTTATGCAGCATCCATTAGGAACTTTGTCTTGTTCTCATTTACTGAAAGGCTGATCTTATTAGCCTTTCAAATCATGCTATGTCTAAAACATCGTCTCTAGAAAACTGTTTTAGAAGTCCGATAACGCAGTTCTCTTGCTTACTTATTTCGTTGACTTTACAGATCAATTGTGATCCATGGCTTTCTTTAGATGTCGCTTTAAACTGGCTGGCTCCCGCTTGCCAATTTCCTATACCAAATGCAATACTGTCTCTGTCAACAGCCTCTTTCCATGAGTTCTTTGGTTTTACATGTGCTCTATTTCCTTTCACATAGTCCGACTTAGAGACTTTACTTAATGGAGCTTCCACAGGTCACCTCATAGCTTGTGCAGCCCAACGGAGCCTGTTGATTTTGATTCGTTATACGATATCAGCTTCATTGAATAGCGCCGTTCTCATTCTTGCTAAATGCTCATATTGTTCTAGATTTCTGTCTTCTTGCATATTTTTGCATATGATTCATAATAGTCTGATCTATGAAACAGAAAATATATATAAATGAAAGAGTCTTGTCTTTTGCATAACTTTATCAATTATTTGTTTCGGTTTTGCAGTTTCTTGATCTGTTGTTCTATTCATACCAAAAATAAACTTTAGCATAAAGACCTTAAGATCCATAGCTGCTCGTTTCATGCGTTACAAAGCTAATGATAGTTTAACGAGTAAAGACACGCCAAATTACTGCACTCAAACTTAGACCTACAACTTCATAAAGGGATCCGAACCACTCCTCTGATGACATTTATGCCTGTATCTTACAAAGGAAGGCTGTGAGCTGTGGGTTATTTCCAATACATATGATTCGAAAAAGGATAAGCAAAGTACTGAACCGTTCCGCCAATGAGCCATTCAGCTCACAGGTCCATTCATAATATCCTATTATTGCTTAAAATGGATTGTCAATGGAATGATAATTAGATTTCTGGTTCTATGCGTCTTCTTCTCCCAATTTATCACAATCCTTAATTGCTTATCCTTACCAAAAATATAGTTTTAACTCCACTTTGTAACGCATGATATTTTAAACTTTGAAAATAAAATTTATTTACTGCTGACCTACTCAATTTAGAACTGCATAATAATATTATAATTAAATATGTTAAGCATGATGTACTGCATGACTATAAAATGTGAATGAATTGAACGATCAATCGCTGTAGCTTCAAAAGAAAAAAGAAAAAATCGTACGAGAAAAATTAAAAAAAAATCCTTTAAAAATTTGCACCTTTAAATGTTCCATATGGCTCATAAATATTCCTTAAATGCTAGTTTCCATCCATGCATTTTTATTATTTTGTATCAAATCATCCTAGAATCAATGTTTAGTTTCCTTCAGATTACTTTCAATCGCCAAACTCAGTTTCTTCATTATTTTTTTCTTTTCTTTTTTTTCTCTCGCTCAGTTCAACGACAAAAGTTGTTATAAGCGGAATTCCGCACCATGCAAATTTTAGTGATGTTGAGCCATTATTGAAGCAGTATGGCAATGTCGAAGAATGCGATGCGGTAGCGAGTAAAGATCCAAAAACGCAAACCGTTCACATCACTTTTGAGTCATATGAGCAGGCGCAAAGGTTTTTAACACAAAACTTTTTTAACATTTTTATTTTTGCAATTTTTTTCCTCCCTCAAAATTCATTTTTCAAAAAACAAATTATTAAAATTTCGAAATAATTAATTTTAATTTTTGTTTCCCTTTCTAGAGCTGCAAATGGCCTAAATGGTGCTGATTTTGAGGGCAGCAAACTCTCAACAGAGCTTCTGTTTGAAAATAAATCGCAATCGAGTGGTGGGCAATCGCTTCAGAAAAAGAATCTAAAAGGTCGCTCAACATTTGGTGCTGCTAGTGGACCAGGACGTCAAACTGATTTCCCACTTCGAGTACTTGTTGCTAGCGATATGGTTGGTGCTATTATTGGACGTCAAGGTAGCACAATAAGGCAGATTACTCAACAGTCACGTGCTCGTGTTGATGTTCATAGAAAGGATAATGTTGGGTCATTGGAGAAGGCAATTACGATTTATGGAAATCCAGAAAATTGTACAATGGCATGCAAAAAGATCCTTGAGGTTATGCAACAGGAAGCTAACAACACCAAGAAGGGGTAAGAAGATATTTTAATAATAGTGTTTTTTAAATAAAAATCTGGCACTCGACAGAAAAAATCTGGCACATATCCGACCAAATCTGGCACATATCCGACCAAATCTGGCTCAAAGCTGCCATAAATCTAGCACAAATTTTTCAAAAACTCTGATTTAATAATTTTTTGTTTGTTTTAGTGAAATTTGCCTAAAAATTCTCGCTCACAATAACCTAATCGGCCGTATTATTGGAAAATCGGGTAACACTATCAAGCGTATTATGCAAGATACAGACACAAAGATTACTGTTAGTTCCATAAATGACATTAACAGTTTCAATCTCGAACGCATAATTACGATTAAGGGATCAATTGAGAATATGTCACGTGGTGAGGCACAAATCAGTTCAAAACTTCGACAAAGCTATGAGAATGATTTGCAAGCTTTAGCACCACAAAGTATTATGTTCCCTGGACTTCATCCAATGGCAATGATGTCAACGGCAGGAAATGGTCTCGGATTTCCAGGACGCCCAAATAATGTTTTCCCATCAACAACAAGCTATCCTCCAATGTATCAGGCAACTGGCATGACTGCCGTACCCGGTGCTGCTGATGTACAAGAAACTACTTACCTCTACATACCAAATAATGCAGTTGGAGCTATTATCGGTACAAAGGGCTCTCACATCAGAAATATTATTAGATTTAGTGGTGCAAACGTTAAGATTGCTCCATTGGAAGCTGACAAGCCAGCTGAACAGCAGACAGAGAGAAAGGTTACAATTGTTGGAACACCAGAAGCTCAGTGGAAGGCTCAGTATCTAATTTATGAAAAAATGCGTGAAGAAGGTTTTGTTAGTGGAACTGATGATGTACGGTTGACAGTTGAGATCCTTGTACCTAGTTCACAGGTAAGACTTGCTTTAAATTTGATTAGTTTTAATTTCGAACATGAAATCTAATCTTGATTGTATCTCTTTAGGTCGGCCGCATTATCGGAAAAGGAGGTCAAAATGTGCGAGAATTGCAACGCGTGACGGGAAGCATTATTAAATTACCAGAACACGCGACCGCTTCCACCCCAACAGTCGATGAAGAGACTACTGTACATATAATTGGTCCATTCTTCAGCGTTCAATCAGCTCAACGTCGTATCCGCACGATGATTACCATAACAAATCCTCCACCAGCCTCAGGACGTGCAAAGGCATCATCAGGTCAACAGACGCCGCAACAACAACCTGCTCCATCAACACCACAATCAAAGTCACAGAATCAATCGAATGCATCTTAAATATCTTCAATAAAAAATCAACAACAACAAGAAATATCCACAGCCAATTTTTCTCAGCCAAAATAAATCGTCGAACAAAGAAAAGCAAAAAAAAAACATTCGCAAACTAATAAAAAATTTACAAAAATTGACAATTTTTTTTAATTTGATTTTCGATATAAAATCTCATCAAAATGTTTAAAATATTTTAAAAATTTTATTTTAAAACGTTCCCAAAAAAAAACTAATAAATAAAAAAATCACAAAAAAGGCACTTTAGAAAATGGTAAAAAAATTGAGAAAGAAAAAGCAAAAAAAATACAAAAAATAACATCAAAAAATGTGAAATTTCTGCATGAAAATTCATAAAATAATTAAGAAATTTGTATATAACTATTATCATGATTGGCTACAACGAAAGGCCAATGACTCGCACCGCTAAAGATTTTACCATTCACAAAAAAGAGTAATTTATGTGCGTGAACATGAAAACTACCAAATATATGCCTTATTTATTATTGTTTTATCTTTTTTAAAAGAAATTTTTAATGAATATGAATATGAATATGATACCTTAGTAGGTCATAATTGGAGGGACTGAAGGAAAAATAATTGAGAATTTTTTTTGGTGTAAATTAAGGAAAAGAATTTTTCTTATAATTTCATTTTTGATGAGAAAATTATTGTAATGCAATTTGTGGTAAGGCTGATTGTGATTTTTGAAGCAATTTTTGAGATATTGCAAAATTTTTGGAAAACTTTTGTTTAGAAATTAAACCCTGGAAAAAAAAACATTTCTGAAGCTAACCTCAAAAAATACACATCAGCATTTAAAAAGTAATATACAAGTCCCAATTGCTAAAAATTCAACAAATGTAAAATTGCAAAATGTGGAACTAGATTTTACAAAATATGGACTGGATTTGCTAAAGCGAAGTACTAGAATTTTGAAAATCTTTTGTAATGAAGTTCTTAATATCAGAACTCGATTCAAGACCAGATTTTTTAAAAGCCTTTTCTAAATTTTTGAAATTGAGTACTAGATTTTCTGAATTGAGTACTTGATTTTTGGAATGGAGTACTAGATTTCTGGGATTGAGAACTAGATTTCTGGAATGAAGTACTGGATTTTTAGAATTGAGGATTAGATTTCTTTAAATCTAGTACTAGATTTTTGGAAATGAGTACTAGATTTCTGGAATTAAGTACTAGATTAAAACATAGCTCGTACCAGATATTTTCAAATTCTGTTCTATATGCTACCAAATGCGTTTCATGTTGATCAATCTACAAGTACCAACAAACCAAAAATGAAATTGAAAGAATATAAAGAAAATAAATGTTATCAAGTTGACGAGTATTCTTCATTATGGCACTAAAGGTTATATATAGTCTATAAAATGAGAAATTCACAGTAATTAAATCATTGAATCATAATTTTTAAGGATGAAAAAAATTATATAAATAATATATATACATACTATATATATACATATACATATACATTAAATTGAAGAGACGAAAACAAATGAGAATGATTTAAAAAAATTTAAAAGATGCCACTTAAATTTTAAGATAAAAATTGAAAAAAAAATTGCTTGAAATGAATGAAATTTTCGGTCACCTTTCGAATGAAATGAAAAATACCTCATAGAAAGTGCATTAAAGTTTTTAATTTTTTTAATTTGAACAACATTTTTTTGTCGATCTCATAAAATTATTTGACTAGTTTTGAATGCAAAAAAATTACCAGAAAATTGAAAATGATCAAAACTAGTTTTGTGAGACGATAAAAATGAACAAAATACACCAGAAATAGTAATCAAAGAAAATGTAACTTTATTAATTGTTTTTTGAGTCATTGACACTCATTAGGGACCCAAAACAGCTCCAATAAGCTGAATTTGACCATTTGAAGAACATCCCTAAGTGCTCAATGATACTATGATTCTTAACATTATTACTTTGTTTATTGCTAATGTAAAATTTCCTTTTTATTGATGATAACTTGCTTGATAGCTTAAGCTTACCACCACACGAAGATTACCGAGATATAATCAAAATAATTCCTTAATAGAAACTCTTTAATTGTCTTATTAATTATTTTTTTAATGTTTTTTGCTCGAAAAGCTAATGGGATGTGAGGATGTTTAATTCTGTTTCTTGATTGGTTATTGATAAAATAATATTTAATCAATCTGGAACTAGACTTTTAGTCTAAAGTCTAGGTTTACAACTGTTAGAAGTAAACTTTATACTGAAGTACTTTGTTAATACTGAAATACTAGGTTTCACACTGAAGTACCAGGGTTCATACTGAAGTACCAGATTTTATACTGAAGTACTGGATTTTAAGAAAAAGTACTGGATTCTATGAAAAAGTACTAGATTATATGCAGAAGTACTAGAATTCAAAATGAAGTACCAGATTTCATATTGAAGTACTAGATTTCAAACTTGAGTACTAGATTTAGGCGGAATATTATTTCAAAGTTCTAATTCTTAGTAAACTAGATTCTTATGCATTGCACAAGACTTTTAGTCAGTTTAAGAAACTTTATATTCTGAACACAGTTTTCCGGCATCCAGTACAAATATTACAATATACATTTCGTTGAACATCCTCACAATTCATTATGGAGATAAATCTTGTTTAATGTTGTTAAGTTAACATTCTTTCATTTACCATATTTAATTTAATGATTAATCGATTAAGATCCGTTTATTGATTAAAGTTACTTTAAATTTTGAGAGTACAGTTTGCAAAAGAAGCATAGCTGCACGAATATCAACCCCAAATTACATCATTCCAAATTGTCTAGATCCAAATCTCAAATTTGAGATAATTTTGATATTTCAAATGAAAAAATTGTAAATGAAAATCTTCAAAAGCTTTTCCTGAACATGACGTAATTAAATTTTAAGTTGTTTTATCATTTTTTTTTTTTCAACATTACAAGTTGAAAATACTAAACTGAACAATAGACTGGAATTAAATAAAAAAAACAATAATGATAAAAGATTATCAAAAAAGCCACAAGAAATGCAATAGATTTAAAAATGAACAAAAATGTTCAAAAATGGGAAATCAAAATGAAATAGGTTTAATACAAAACTTTAAAAATACAAATCACAAACGTCCATAGAAGTAATAATAATGCCAAAATATTTATTGATTTATTTATTGACCATGATTCTAGTTTTGGGCATCCTTAACTAGCTTTTTTCTGTTAAAAAAAAAAACATTCTTTTCACAAAATATGCAAATCTACTTAATTCTGTTTAACAAAACACAAACAAATCAAAAAAGGTTATTTAAACTAACTTACTTTTAACTACTTTACAGTTTCCATAACAGCAGCAATAGTACAAAAATTTAACTTATACACATTAAAATAGTAAAATAAATACAAACTGGAGCGGACAATTTGAAATGTCCTAGATTTTTTTGCCAATTATGTGAAATTTCAATGAAATGACTAGATTTTTTGGAAGTACTAGATTTTGACAAAAGTGCTAGATTACTTATCAAAGTAAAAGATTCGATCGATTTTAACTTCAAAATAATAAAAATAAAAATCTAGGACATTTCATAATTTCCTCTCCATATAAAAATGAATAACATAACCTCAATTACAATAAAACAATAAAAAGAAGTAAATCTATGAGGAAAATTTTCGGTAAAGAAATGAAAAAGAAAACAATTAATTAAAAAATATTGAAGAAATTGAGTAAAAAAGAGAAGAAAACTTTATATCGTTGATAATTATTCAATTATAAAATTTTAATCAATGCTTCGTCTTGAACAAAAATGAAAGAAAATGTAAAAAATTTAAAAAATTTAGCATAATGAAGAATGAGTAACTTTAATTCATATTTTTAAGGACTCAAAAAAATTAATTTTGAAAATCATTGAGAATATTTTTGATATTGAATTAAACTATAAAACAAATTAAAAAAATATCTTCAGGGGTTGAAAAATTAAAAGTTTCCGACTGATGACTTTGAGGACTCACGAACTTCCACGCTTGAAAGCTGCCTTGATTAAAAATTCAGTTTTGACAATTTGGACATTCCAGTATTATTATTCATATTGTAGTTCAAATGGATGTAGATTGTTGGAACTTATCAGCAAGAATTCAAACAAATTTTCAGTTTTTAAGGTTTTAATATTCAAAAATCACCTTCCATGTTATGCACGGAAGTTCAAAAATTGCTGATCAAATTTAAAAATAATCCAAGAAAAATTTTAATTTCAAATCAAGGCATGCGAAATAAAAATAATAATTCGAGAGTCGTGTGAAAAATTACAAATAAAATCCATGCACACGCATGGTAAATTATTTAAGGAATTGTTTAAAATTTAAACAAAAGTATGAAAAATTGCGAAAAAATGGATCAAAAATCTTGTTAGATTTTTAATAATTATTAAAGATATTTAAAATTTTATAGAATTTTATTTATGATGTAAAAAGTGTTGATTTTGAGGGTGTGGTGATAGTAACTAAAGTTGAGCTGTTAAGTGCTTTCTACTAGATTTTTAACTCAAAATTTAGTTTAAAACCTAGCGCTCGACTTACCAGTGCACCTCGACTCCCCTCAACTTCAGCACGAATAAGGAGATTTTAAATTCTATTTAAGCGTTATGAAAAAATCGCGCGCACGTTTCTTGTTTGCTTGACTGCGATTGATTGACTACTTATTGAATAAAAAAGGGTGAGATGAAAAGAAAATCTTTTTTTTGTTAACAAAAATTTTGTTTGGTGTACGAATAAGAATTTAAAAAGGCGCAAAAAATTTAAAACGCTTATAAAAAGAAGCCAAAGCTTATGCGTCTAAATTTAGATTTTTATAAATTTAAAAGAATTTTTTGAGTGATATTTTGCGAGTAAAACCGCGTTCTAAATTATTTATGATTTTTTTATGTTTATTTTATTTTTTGCTATTTTTTATTTCGGCAACAAAATTTTTGCTTCTAAGATGCATTGAGGCTACCTTAAAAATTGGCAAAGCTAAAATACACTTTCAAGTACTTTTGTGCCAAATTTTTAATTTTAAAAACATATTTTTTCTTTTATTCATAAACTTCTCTTTTTCATTTAAAAAAA